AGGATACTAAAAATTTCCAAGGTATTGGATATACTTTACCATGGAATACGTTGAAGACAGTCATCAACAAGTGAAGAAAATATGGCACAACAGTTCTTGGAACAGAATATCCCTCCAAACTTGATGAAGAAGCAAGAAAACTGGCTCAAGAAACTGCCAAGAGTAACATTAAAGGAGCCGCAGGAAAGTCTGGGAAGTATTGGTTGTGACAACAATCTCCTGTATTGTCTGTATGTCTGGGCTATGAGGTAGCGGTAACAAGACTTACCAAGAAAAACATCCAAGCCCATCTACATTTTGCAAAAACCTACATTGGGTCTGACAAAAGCATGTGGCAAAAGGTGTTAGGGTCTGATGAGACCACAGTTGAACATTTTGGCCATAATTCCAAAATGTATGTTTGGTGCAAAAACAACACTGCGTATCACCAAAAATACACCGTACTCACGGTGAAGCATGGAAATGCTTCATGATTATGCTTTGTGACTGCTTTTCTTCAGCTGGAACTGGTGCTTTAGTCAAGGTGGAGAGACTTATGAACAGTTCCAAATCTCAGTCAAATTTGGCACAAAACTTCCAGGCCTCTGCTAAAATGCTGCAGATGAAGAGGAATTTTAACTTTCAACATAACAATAACCCAGGGCATAGTTCCAAATCAACCACAGCAGCAAAAAAATAACTTCACCAGAAGAAGATCAAAAGTTATGGAATGGCCCAGCCAGAGCCTGGACCTGAATCCAATTGAAAATCTGTGGGGTGACCTGAAAAGAGGGCTGTGCACAGGAGATGCTCTCACAATCTGACAGACTTGGAGCACTTTTGCAAGATGTCCATGCTAACAGGCTACCCTGAGAGACAGAATGCTGTCATAAAATCAAAAGATATTTCAATGAAGTATACGTTTAAGGGTGTATACATACAACCACCTTATTTTATAGTTTTTATTATTTCCCCCTAAAAGGTTTCAGTTTAAGTTTCAATTGAATTGTACAACATATATTTTATATTAAAGGTAGAAAAATTCTGAATGATTTATCTTGGTCTGACTTTTTTTGCACCTCAAAAATGCTGGCCTTTTAACAAGGGTGTGTGGATTTCTTACATCCACTGTATATTTTTTGCTATTGTTTTGTACACTCTGGATTTAATTTACCTCTCATGAGTAATCTCCACGAGAATGGTGGAGATGACTTTTGTTTTTAAAAAAAGGCTACGGCACTGTAACGATATCTACCTTTTTCTCATGAAAACATTTTTTTTTTCTGAGATGGGTAAGGCTTACTTTGTGTGCCTGACACCAAGTTATATTTTTATGAATTTGGCGGAGGTTTGGACCCACATAAATGCTTCCCTAAGACTCCCCATTTTAGCCCATAGCAATCAACGGGCCTTGCATCCAAGTAAACGTGCAAAACTGTATAGTAGCTGATTAAAAATACCTATTCCCTTCATAGTTGATTATGCCTGCCTTCTGATGGACCAATGAGCGCTTTGCCTAAATCAAACATTTGCACACTCTTAATCTCTATTAACACGTTCCACCATGCATAGGGCAACGAGTGGCAGATGAAGTTTGGCTGGTTCTCTCAGTTCTGTTCTTGACATTGGGCACGGTGCCACACTCTAAGCCAACACATTAAATACAGGTCTCCAGGGGAAAGTCTTCGTATGCACAACTCTAGGTTTGATTAATTCCATTCCACATGATGAAGCCGGATTTGATCAGGTTACCAGCTGCTCCAAAAGTATATGCGTAATGCTGTGCAGTACAGGTGTAGCATTATCCTTTGGAGATACCCATTTGTCATGATTTCGTTAAATGTGATTTGATGGTGTGTTCTGCAGTAAAAACATACGGAATATAATTTGACTGTCTGAACTTTCCCAGAAGTCCAACTTTTAATTCAGTACGGCCCTCAGATAATGCAACTTACCCTGTGGATGACTACTCACGCGTAAAATTCCTATTTATCTTTAACAGGTTAGATCAGGAGTCTATAGACTTGGCAACTTTGAGACTTAGGGTTTTCAACTCCCAGAATTCCTCAGCCAGCCATGCTGGCTAGGGAATCCTGGGAATTGAAGTCTTAAAAGGTGCCAAGTTTGGAAATGCCTGGATTAGGTTCACAAGAAGGACCTCATGTTTTTACATTCTTTCAGTAGAGCCAGGGATAGGGAACAAGCTATTATACATCTATTAAATAAAAACACACAACTTTATTAATTCTCATATCAGCTTGAACCTGCTTCTCTGTAGTTTTGTTCTATTAGTTTTGCCAAAATGGACACAAAGTCCAGATCTTCCTTAACAAAAGTCTTTTAGATAGTCTAACAACTTAGAGACCACTACATTTCTCTCTTCAGTTGTCTTCTGCAATTTTTTAAAAAAACTATTTTTCATTGGACTTGGCTAGATAGCCTCCTCTGCTTTTTCCAATGTATTGAGAAGTCTGTTGTAGACTGCAGTGCCCAGAATCTGGGTCGGTCCTGAGATGTTTATTTCCCATGATCTGGATTCAGTGCTTTTGTGAATGTATCTCAAAATTGTATTTGCCTTTTTAGCAATGGCATCACACTTCAGGCTCCTTTTCACAGGTATTAGGGCCAAGGCAAATCTCTCCCATTCTGTATTTGTGCCTTTCATTGTTCTTTTCCCCCTTCCTCAGATGTGGGACCTTCTGTCTTCCTATGTGCCAGTCACTACTCCCACTTATGCCCTCTCTGCCAATTTTGTGATAATCTCCTGCCCCCCTATATCCAGCTCCATAACAAAATTGCACCGGCCAGGAGTAGAGCTCTACGCATAATAGCATTCTCATTCACCCCAGCAATGACTCTATTTAACAGCTGTGTTATCTAGCCAATAATCTACCATTTTAATAATCAGGGTGTCCTTAAGAGAGGTTTTGGCAAATGCTTTGCTGAGGTCAAAATATACTGCGTCTATAGCATTCCACCAATCTATTAAGCTACAGGTAGTCCTCGGCTTATAAGAAGCGACTTAGTGACTGATCAAAGTTACAGTGGCTCTAAAGTTAGTGACAGTTTTTCGCACGTATGACAATTGCAGCATCTCCATGGTCACATGACCAAAATTCAGAGCTGGCTCGTATTTATGATGGTTGCCGTGTGTGTGATCCCGTTTTGTGACCTTCTGACAAGCAAAATCAATGGGGAAGCCAGATTCACTTAACAACTGTATTCCTAATTTAACAACTGCAGGGATTCATTTAACAACTGTGGCAAGAAAGGTGGTAAAATGGGGCAAAATCCACTTCCTTAGCAACATAAATTTTGGGCTCAATTGAGATAAGCCGAGGACTACCTGTATTAACTGTCAAAATAGTAAATGATTTGTTGGCTCTAAGCCCATATTCTTGTTAATTGTTGGAAGCCTAAGCAAGTGCTCACTAACATGATATTTAATAATCTGGTCCAATACCAGAATAAATGTTTTTCCTTTTTTTCCTTATGAAGCGACATTTCTATATCTTTCCTTATGAAGAGACATTTCCATATCTTTCTATCTTCCAGATACATATAAACCAAGTTCATTTTGTTCAAGTTTTTGATTTTCTTTTTGAAGACATGATCGGTTCTATCCAACTATGACTTTTTCTTCTTCTTCTTTTTCCCCTTCTAGCCTCTTCCTTTATTTGTTTGTAATTCAATCCTTCCCAAACCATTTCAATATACTTTTTATATTAATCAGCCTCCATCTCTTCTTCTTTATGCTTATTGCCACTGTATTTTGCGTATGAGTAATTGAGGTATATTAAAAGATAGTCTACTTTACTAAGATTATTCTAGCAAACTAGTAAAAAAGCATTTCCTTTTCTCATATAAGGAAACACCAAAGTTTACATACTTTACAATTAAATGTATGCATTGGTTTCCTTAATCATGACAAGACTTTTTATCCAGATTTAAATGTTTGAACTAATCTTGACCATTTAACACTGCAGTTCTGTGCATCTACAGAAAGCAAGCAGTAGCAGTTAGGCTGAGGAAACCTCCCTCCCCAAGTTTCATTATCTCGGTTAATCCACGTTAAACCACGGCTTGTTTATTCGTGGCTTATGGAATAGATGACAATTGGTGCATAAACGGCTGAAAAACCCAAACCACATTAAGGCTTGCTTAGTGCTATCGCATGAGATGAAATGGTTTTTTTTAATTTAGTCAAGCATGCATTTGTTAATAAATATAAGTATAAACATGATTATTAACACATGAAATAGATACGAATAAAAGGGAACATTAAGACAGGGACGGGAGGCACGTCGGTTTGTTGTTGCGTTCCTTGCCGTCGTAGCCCATTGTATCTCTGGGTTTGTGCTTAAATCTTATTTTTGCGACCCACTGTATCGGTGTCGGGGGTGGGGAGGTGGGTGGGACCGTGGGACGGGAAAAAGTGGCATGCACGGAATGATTGCATTAGAGTATAATAAAATAAATCAGTGCATGGTTGGTATTACTAATAAAGACGCCATCCGCGTTAGTTACCCTGACCCTGGTGCAAACTGTCAGAAACCTTTCGGAAGGCAAGGAAAAAAGACCATGGTACTGCTGAATTAGATCTACCGGGCAGTGGATCTAGCCCAGCCTCCCCACAGAGCCTTTTTTTGGCGGGGCCGGGCGGGGTTTGCAGAAGGAGACGGGCGTCCCTTTCGGCTCTTTTGTCCCGCTCAGCCCCTCTGGTGGCGCGTTCCATTAGCAGCCACCGGCGGGGGGGGAGGAGGGAGGGAGGGATGAAGGAAGGGAAGGCGCGCCTAAAGATCACAAACAGCGAGTCTTGGGGCGGTACCAACTCGCGTAGTAAGTGACGAGGGAAAGGAAAAAAAGAGGGCGGTCCCGGCGCCTTAAAAGTTGTAGCCGCGGGCGGTGTTTCGATTGGCTCTTTCGACGACGAGGGGCGGGGACGGAGCGTTGACGGGCAGCTTTCCCGGTCGCGCCCCCTTCTCTCTCTTTCTCTCTCCCTTCCCCCACCCCTCCTCCCCTTCCTCCTCTCGCTTCGCTTTGGCAGTAGGAGGCCCGGACTGGCCTGCTCGGTTCTCGGCGCCCTCCCGTCTTCTTTTTCGGCCAGGTGGGTTGAGGTAGGTAAGGGAGCCACTGCGGCCGTGCTCGGCTCTGGGAGTCGTCGGTACGGTTCTCTGGAGGGCAAGCCCCCCCCCCCTTCCCGCCCTTTTTTCAGCCGGGGGGGCTTGGGAAAAGCTGACCGGCGGCGCCCCCCTCGCTTTCTCTGGGTGTGGGCTGAGGCGGTTGGGGGGGGGGCGAAGAGGTGGGTCGTGAGAAGGGGAAGGGGCGCCCACGAAGCCTCTCATCCGCTCCCGTGGCTCTTGGGGTGGACTACAACGCCTATCCTTCCCGGCCAGCCGCTCCTTACGTTGGGTGGGGGATAATGGGCGGTTTTATACTCGTAAGAGCGTGGAGGGGGAAGAGGAGAGGGAATGATAAGGGGACGAAACCCGCGTTTAGGGGATCGAGGGAGGGAGTGCACGTGAGAATGGGAGCCGACACCTCCCCCACCCACCCACCCCTTCTAAGGCGGGTCAACTCCGGTTTGAAGACCGACATTGAGTCAGTCATACAAGCCAGGATGGAGAAAGTTCAAGCCTTTCCCGCTCAAAGGCCTACCTCTCGGGGTTGTTGTGTGTCTGGGAAATAAGGGCGGAGGGGCATGAACCAACTTGTGGCTGTGGGAGGTTGGTGGGGGGGCTCATATAAATAAATGGCTGCCTGGTCTTTGGAGCGCATACACAGTAGTCGAGACTGTCGGTCCCAAGAAGAGGCTGGTGCGGGGTTGTGGTTGTGCGGGGTTGTGATGAAAAGCCAGAGCAGGAGACAGTGTGAGCTGTGTGTCTTTAGGAGTGGGCAGAAGGAGGGGAACTAGGAATTATAAAGTTATCATCAGGGCAATGCTGTGCATTTGCAACTGGTTGGTTCCTTTTGTCTGTCATTCTTTTCCCGTGGTGTTCAAAGCGTTACTCATCCCTTTTCCCAGGAAAAGAGGTAGCTCTGTCTCTTAAGTATAGGTAGTCCTCGACTTACAATGGTTCATTTAGTGGCTGTTTGAAGTTATAGCAGCACTGAAAAAGGGGGAACTTAACAAATGTGTTTTTCATGCTTAACAGCCGTCGCAGCATTTCCGTGGTCATGCGATCCAAATTCAGAGGCTTGGTCATTGGTTCGTATTTATGAGGGTCTGCAGGGTCCTGGGGTCGTGTGCGGGATCTCCTTTTGTGACCTTCTGTCTGACAAACAGAGTCGGTGGGGGAAGCCAGATTTCCATAACAGCGGAGTTATTCACTTAACAACTGCAATGATTCACTTAACCACAACCGTGGCAAGAAATGTCGTGAAATGGGGCAAAACTCGCTTAACACTTAGCAACATGAATTTTGGGGTCAATTATGGTCGTGAGTGGAGGACTACCTGTAAACAGTTAAAATAGGGAGAATTGTAAAATGTGTGATTGCTGTAATTCTTTGAAGTGTGGCTGAAAGAGCATTGGGAACCTATTGAATTAGCTTGACATGGCTGGGTGTGAGCAATCCGGCTTGCTGTGCCATCTTGAGACATTTTTAGTAGGTGAATGCTTGAGGACAACGAGAATGGTTTGGGTTAAGAGTCGAGGTTGACTAGACTGAGTAAGACATCTGTCTACAGAAATACTGGTTTCAAAATGCTAGATGGCTGCCATACACTTAAAACCAACAACTATATGTGCAGTGTATGTTTGTTGACTTTACTCCATTAGTAGACATGACTGCAATACAACAAGGGGGGTGCTATGTGTGAAGTTGTCTTTACTGTTCTGAAAAATCAAAGTGTTTCTTTGAGGCTTGTGGCCAATCTTGAGGTGTGGCTCGCATCTTAAAAATTGTGGAAATCTGTCATATTTTTAAAAATCTCATATCTGAGTTACATCTGAACCATCGAATTACAGATAATATTTTTAAGATGCTTAACCTTTCTATTATATTTTTGAAAACAACTTTATAGCAAACAACAGTGATACAATCAAAATAAAAAATGAGAATATGTGTGTGTGTGGTGTATAATAGAGATAAAATATTTATTAAGATTACACGGCCCTTTTTTAAAGTTTTGGTTTGTATTTTGCTTTGCATGATTTAAAGCTATTCTGGAACTACTGTTTTCCAATTAAAATACATGAAAAAACATGAACTATCTCATAACTCTAGTAATTTTACAGGGTTTTTAAAAATACTTTCAACATGTTTTAATTTCAAAAATAGTGTTATAATGGCTTGTTGCAAGATGTTTGCTTTTAGGTCTGGTTATATGTGGAAACATGTATTTGTACCATGAAATTTTGGGTCAAATTGATGCTTAAAATATTGCAGTCATCATTCATGTGGAGAATGACATTCTTGTCTGTTATATGTGTTGCATCCATGCTGAGTCACAGCAGGCCATTCTGCACATAAGGGTTTTCTGAAGTTAGAATATTTTATCCTGCTAAATTGGTATAAATATTTATTAAGGCTATTCAATATTGGCTTCCTTGCTCCCAAGGGCTTCCCACCTAGAGATAGCTCAGTATTTCATTTATTAAAATTTTTTATACTACACTTACATGTCTAATGAGTAAATGCTTTGGTATTTAACAGAATTGGTAGTAATATAAATTAAAGTAGTACTTTAATCCAAAAGAAAGGGGATAGCAACCAAGTAACACAAATAGCACTGTAGCAAATAAGAAATTGGTATGTCACAGATATTTAGATGATCACAGTGGCCTTTTAAAAGAAAATCCCCTAATACCTAAAATCCAGCCAAACAGAATTTCCATCTTGATTATGCCGTATTCTTCCTCTGGAAAGATAGCATACTTGACTATTTCAGAGAACTTTTAGAAGCACCTGATTAATTTTTTCTAGCTAATGTTTAGAAATTGCCTCCTTTGAACGACCAGAGAAAAGAATATTTTGCAATCAAAGATTTTTTGTTGAATTCTGGGCAGGTACTATATTAGAAGTAGAGAATGGCATCGTGAAATTGGGAGCATGGAACACAGCAATGCTGTTACTCTGATTGCAATATTTGTGATAGCTCCAAATGTAGGATTGGGTGGAGTTATGGTTATATTTTACAACTACAGTTGAGCCTAAAATCTGTGTTGCTAAGCAAGGCTGTTGTTGAGTTTTGCCTCATTTTATGACGTTTTTTTTGCATTACTGCAGTTAAGTTAGTTATATGCTTGTTAAATGAATCTGGCTTTCCCACTGACTTTGCTTGTCAGAAGGTCACAAAAAGTGATCACATAAATCCTGGCACACTTGAACAATCACAAATACGTACCAGTTACCAATTATCCCAATTTTGGTCACATGACTGTGGGATGCAGTGGTATAAGATTGACAAATGCTCATAAGTCACTTTTTCAGTGCCATTGTAACTTTGAATGGTCACTAAATGAATAGTTTGTAAGCCAAGAACTATCTGTAATTATCAATTCAGGGAGTGCAGAAACTGGGAATGAGAAACAGTTTGAAATTAAAATGGGAAAGAACCAGGTTAAAATAGGGGGTATTTTTTTAGTAAAGGGTGAAATTAAATAATATGACTTCAAGTCCCAAAAATGTTTTTCAAAAGGCAACTTTTAGTTCTCAGAAAGTTGCTTGGATTAGAAAAGAAACATTTTCAAGGAAGAGAAACCAAGTAAGTCCAGTTGCCTTTTGAAAAGCATCTTTGGAACAACCATGACCTGGATGACTGAGAATCTCCATAGACAATAGGACTTCAAGCTAATACTTGCATACATAAATGATAGGAGGATGGTATTACATTGTGTCAGACTGATTTTACATTCAGGGGTTTGGAACACATAGTGCATGGTGCCCTATTTAGGGAAGGGATGCTGTGTGCAGGTTACCCATTTCTGTTTTATTGGCCCTGACAATGTGGAAGCTAGTAATGCTTAGAAATAGTGGGGTGGGGTAGAAGGTCCTATAGTTTATGAGGCTAGAACAGCAGCCTCCTCCCCCTTTAGAATTGATGTGCTGTTAAGCTTTTCTAAAATGTATTGGTTGACCTAATATTTGATTTTAGTTTTGGACAGTAGCCTTATTTAATGGGCTTTTTAGACAGTTAATTGCACTATAGCTATACAATTAACGATCTGGTTGTTGGAGGGAGGGTTGCACAAAGTCCAGACATTTTCACTCAGAGAAGCCCTTCAGTTTCAAGGTATTTGTGGTTGTTCCTCTTCCCACTTTTCCAAAAAAAATTTAATACAGTTTGAGGGTTAGAACAAGGCTATGTAATTGTCACAGTCACTGTTGAATAGATAATTCTGGCAATTAAAATACAGTGTAGCGTTTTTCATATATGTAGCCAAAAAACCATAGCTTTAAAAGAAAAATCTGTATTGAAATTGCCAAAATATAGAACCCCCCCCCCTTTTTTTGAAAGTGATGGGGGTAATAAATGCAGAGCACCCTCATAAAATAGTTTGTCTGGATCCCCGATAGTCTGAATTCAGACCTGATACAGGACCAAAACAGCATTGGTCATTCTGGTTGATAGTCTTTTTTTGAGATCTGGATGGGGACATTGTGCCCCTTCTGGTCTGTTTAGATATCTTGGTAACTTTCAGTCATGTCAACCATAGTATCCTACTGAATTGGCTGCAGGTAGGGAGTAGCATAATTGCATAGTACTTCCCCTCCTTCCTAAGTGGGCAGTCCCAGGTAATGGAGGCAGAGAGTTCAACCTAACGATTGTTCTGTATTGAGTACCACAGGTTTTAGTCTCTGGCAGTCCTCAAGTTTAACATTTATATTAAGTGAAGGCGAAGTCATTCAGTTTGGGTTGTGGTGCCAGCAGTATGCTCATCTCTATCTGGTCTTTGCTGGAGATCTTGTGTTGATCTTGTCTCAGCATCTGAATTGCATGGGAAGAAAGGGGGATTGCATGGGAAGAAAGTAGCCAAAATAGAAACCCTGCAAGATGTGAAAGTGCTCTTTGTGGAGAAACTCGTTTGGCTCTTTATTGGCTTTGAGGGCTTCAGACAGGGTAGATTCCCACCTGGAGGAACAGGTTTTCCTAGACTTGCAATTATTGTTGG